AAATATAGCAAAGCTAGAAAGGAAATGAATGCAACCCCTTCAGAAAATCCCTGGAGGAATGAATTGGTTGTGGGTTTTGGGGAGGGGGTGGGTTGTGGATGTTTTGCATGTTGCATTTAGGGCCCAGGAGTTTATTTATGGATCTTAGCTTTGGGATCAATTTCCAGCGTTCTGAATCAGGTCAACCGGTGGGAAGCGGAGGCCCTGGTGATGGTTGTAGCTGGAGGTAAGGGGAGGCATGGGCTTAGTTCCATTCCTGCTGTGAGATCCTGCATGCATCACATCTCCCCTTCTCTGCTAATTAAAATGTTTCCTTCTCTCTTTTTTTGCCATCGTTTTGGTTTGAATAGAGGTGTGCTCCATCGGGTTATTTTCCCTTTCTTTCGACCTCCTTGCCTTGAGATGAAGGAGAGAAAGCAAACGATCTTTTCTGCAGCACCCTGCAGATTTTCAGCTTTCCAGGATGTTAATGGATGGGCTGGGGAGGAAAAGAGAGAAACGGTCATTCCACACCAGTGATGAACAGCTGCACCCCAGAAATTCTTGAAGGTGGGAGGGTTGGGGTACCAGCATCTGCACTGGAGACTTCAGTGAAGGCAGTTCACGTGAGCCTGGGGACATCCATGTGGGGACCCTTTGCTAGTGAAAAGAACATGGTGAAGTTGTGTATTGTCTTTCGCGTGCTTCGTCTTACTATAGTCAGGGTGGGACGTGCTGAGAGCTAAAAGGCACAACTTGCTTCTTTCTGAAGTCGCTTAAGAAGATGATCTTATTTTCTTTCTCTTCTTCCTGTCCTACCACAGGTGGGCTGCCATTATGGCTGTTTTGACTTCATATGTGGCAGTTCTGAATAATCATGCACCTTTGCTTCCAAACCAGTCTCTCAGATTCTTCTCCTTCCTCTGATGCTTTTTTGTATTTTTCCCCCCTTGTATAGCAGTAACAAGCTATAATTTTTATTTCTCTATTTTGTGACTTATCTATTCTGGCTTTCAGCATTTTACCTGTTTTAAGTATTCTTGGTCTTTATTCATTTGCTATCGTACTTCTTCGTCGGTCACCCTCTCAGTCCAATAAACTCTTAGTATCTTGTAATTAACCCATGTTTTAAATATTTATACCTTTTCGGTGGCAGCACATATTAAAGTCCACCATTCCATGCTGTACAGTAGACCTGACAATACACAACACAATAGCACGGACTTTCTCAAAGCCAGTTTTAAGCTTTTGTTATATATTGAATATATATTCTTCATCTGCATCAGTTGTTATGAAACGAGACTTACTCTACCATACTGATTGGAAACAAAGGCTTCAATTTCTTTCCACTGTTTTTTTTTCTGTGCCATTAACAAACTGCCTGACAGTGAGGTCGCTAAAACTTCCCTCACACACATCCTGTTTTGTCTCTGAGGTTAAAAAAAAAGTATCAGGGCAGCACTGAAGACCACAGGCACTAGGCCAGATGGAAGACTTGATAACCTGAAGAGTAAACTGTAAATCACTGTATGAGATTTGGCATTAGGATCTGCAACAGAATGTTGCAGTGTGATGTGCTTCTCCTCAGAGATCCAGCCTGTCACATCCTCTTCTGTGATTCTTCATCCCATTCCTCACAGAAGCTCCATTGTGCTTCATCTTTTGTTTCCTTTTTTTGTGGGGACAAGAGATATTGGCCACTTAGGATCCCAACCCCTTTTTTACCTATTTTCTTCAGTTTAAAAGAAAATATCCCCCCCCCAATCTTTATAGTTGAAAACAAAATAAAAATAGAAAAGTTTATAAAAAGACCAAAATATGGTGGCACCTTAAGACTAACATAAATTTTTTAAGGTGAGCTTTCATGGACGCGAGGTATAACATGGCAAATATTTATACATAGCCACCATGTTTTGGTCTTGTGTTACTTTTTATTTTTATTTTGTTTTTACCTATAAGGCTTGCACAGACTAACAGAGCTTCTCCTTCTGCAAAAACCGCTAGACTTAGCCAGATAGAGTTGAGATTCTGATATCTATACCTTGAAGCCATGTGTAAATATTTGTCATGTTATGTCTTCTTCTTCTCCATCATTCTTCTCCAGTCGTTTGTGTTAAAACTGATGTTGCCGTGAATTATATCTGGGATATTCTCAGCACGTGCTTTACTACTACTATTACTATCTGTTCCTTGTTGAAGATGTAATGGAAAGTACAGCTTGGAAAAGGACCTTTTATGGCTCACAAGTTCCAGAACCCCCAAGCTTGCATGGCCAAAAGAAGGGCACTTTCTCAAGCCCTGAATAACAAGATTAATGTGGTTCTGGCAAATCTTGAAAAGGAAGATCAAAAGGGAGAAAAAACATGCAGAAAGAGAAGAGGCTGCTCCAGATACAGTATATCTGGCCGTTTCTTCTGAGCATCTCCAGGCAGAGCTGAACACAGAACGAAAGCCTGCGTTGTCTGGAAGAAGGTTTGTCTAATCTGACCATGAGGATCCTGTGTCTCTTCCGATGTCACTACATTCCCGCTCCCATGGGTAACAGCCATGATACCAGGGGGTCATGGGAGTTGAGGTCCAATAGCATCCTGACAACCGCACATTACACACATGCGCGTGCGCGCGCACACACACACACACACACACACACACACACACACACACAGAGTTTTACGTCAGCAGACAGATCAAGGTAGTACGGGCTGCAAGAATTCAGATTTCATACTGGCATGCACAACTTTGACATCCTCATCATAGCATCCTTCAGTCTTGAGAGACTATGGTATCGTGCTCTGCATGGAGGACTTGGAACAACGTCTAGTGTGGCTGAGAAGGCTAATTCAAGAGTGACAATCTCTTCCACACTTAGGACAAGTACAATCTGTACCCCGTCTAGCTCCCTGATTTTGCTGCTTTCGTGACTGCCTCTTTGCCTCAGCCTGCTGGGCGAGGGTCTCTTCAAATTGGGAGAGGCCGTGATGCACCACCTGCCTCCAGGCTGAACGCTCAGAGGTCAAGGTTTCCCATCTGTTGAGGTCCATTCCTAAGGCCTTCAGATCCTGCTTGCAAATGTCCTTGTATCGCAGCTGTGGTCACCCTCTGCGGCGATTTCCCTGCACTAATTCTCCATACAGGAGCAAGAATTCAGATTTCATACTGGCATGCATAACTTTGACATCCTGCCCCACCATGAAAGGCATAGAAACAGCCTGTCTTGTCAGGGAATATTCCTTCCTTCTGGGAAGGGCACCCCTGTGCTCTGTTTGTATCCTGATTCATGATCTAGGACTACTCTATTTGGAACTTTGAAAGGCATAGAAAGAGTCTGTCTTGTCAGGAAATATTCCTTCCTTCTGGGAAGGGCAGCCCTGTGCTCTGTTTATATCCTGATTCACGGGTTGAGTCATCTTTAAAAAGAACAAGGATGGACTGGAAAATTCATCATAGGCATATTGATTTGCCTGGCAACTGTAATATGTGCAATCCAAACAGAGGCTTGGATAAGAAGACCTTCATTAATGATGATTGCATGCCATCAAATCAATTAACACATACAGTGACCCTATGCAGAGTTTTCTCAGTGCAGGATACTTATTTATTTATTTAACTTAATTCACTTAGAAGTAGTTTACCATTTCCTTCTGGGGCTGTTCAGGATGCCCAAGGCTACACAGGTATGCTGTTCTGACAGTAGGCACAGCTGGGAATCGAACTCCCAACCTCTAGTATCTCACTGAACCATCCGGCCCAAGGCTTGCCACTGATTAATTGCTACATTTATATCTCATGTTTTCTGCACTGTGCTCATAGTACTGTATTTCTTTCTTATTCCACTTTTATCTTCACTGGGCAGCTGAGCTAGGATCATTCAGTGAGTTTCATGACTCAATAGGGACTAGAACTTTAATTTTTCAAAGCTTTGTCCAGCACTTTTACCACCGCACTGCACTGGCTCTTTTGATCTGCTATTTAGGAGAAGAAGACTTTAGAGACAATTAGCGTTATCCAGGCTTAAAAGAAATAACAGGGGACGAGCTATCTCCCCTGTGATGGGACACACAAAAAAGTTTTTTTATAGATTTTCTGTGATAACTTCAGCAAGAGCTATTTGAAATCATAGCATTTATTGATATGTGATGGTGTACATGTTTGTTGACTAGAGCCTCATTTTGTGAGCTGCATGAAATAAAATGAACAGGCTAACTTACTGTATATATGTAGGAAACCATGGACAGTGATGATGGTGGATAAATTATTTTGCAAAAGAAAGTAAGACAGAGGGCTAAATCCAGTTGCTAGCCTCA